GTGGCTTCACTTTTCTAAAAATAACGAAATCTCGGCAAAATGCAAAATTTGTGACAAAAGGAGTATTTTTACAGAAGGAGTATTTCCTTCAGAAAGGCCGTTGGTTAGCAAGGTTAGCTAAACTTTTTTGACCCTGCCTCTTAAAAGAATCGGAATCGAGAATCGTTAGGAACCGGAATCGAAACAAGGAATCGGAATCGTAATCAGAATCGTTCAAATTCAAACGATACCCAACCCTATTCGTGATGTACGCAGATTTCAGCTCACCACGCGAGCTACGCCGTTGGCAGTATAAAAACCATCTTGTGTCGTCAAAACCACTGTAGGGAGTCAGGAGTTGGAATTGTGAGTATTGAAAACGATCAGGATAGAGTGTTTTAGCATCTATTTCGTCGCCTCTATCTCCGCTGGGGTCTGCCCACTTTTTCAGCATTTTTAAAATATCGTCAGTGGGTGGAGTCAGGCTCTGACCAGGGGTTTAGTTACCCTTTAAAGAGTGCGTTAGTAATATGCGGCTATAGGCGGGTCCACAACGCATGTACACTTTGCCCCGTAGATGGTCAGATTGCACGGTTTAACCTCGTGCATGAGCAAATCCGTTTCCTCGCTAGAGAAGCATTCAGTTTTTCCCAACTGGCTTTTAAAGGGAACGGGAAATGAGACTCTGATTGGTTTATTGCATGTTACGCCCAAAACACAACCATTACTCATTAGGAGAACAGGGACAACTCTTTTAGACCATGCGCCGGGAGCGCCGACCATTTTTCCCGTCGTTAAACTAGCAAAAGTCTATACGGACACGCCCAAAGTGAGTGATTAAATAGAGTGGATATAAAAAGTCTACATAAATAAATATTTAACAAAGCCATCTTGAGTAATTGAATTTAAATGTAAAAATATATAATTTTATTTAAAGTAATTTTCATTTTAAATGTAATATCCGATTTAATAAAAAAGAGATACTATGTGGATTATGATTGGTAAAAAAAAGAAAATAAAAGACAAAAAGATCCATCCATTCATTCTCCAAACCACTTTATCCTCTGCAGGGTTGCAGACAAATCTTATACATTTTAAATTAGATTTTCATATGATAAACAATATCACATAAGCAGGTTGTTAGGCATGACACAATGCCAAATAATTACAGCGCATTACTGTTTATACAGGCAGTTTGCAGTTGCCAAGCAACTTTATTATATAGAATTCATTTGATATACAGTACGGTCACAGGTCTATGTGAGTGTCTTTACAAAGGTTTCAAACGTGTGTCTCACAACTAGATCAGAGTAATGTAACTCTTATAAAACTTCTCTAACTCCCTTTAAATCTCAACTTGGTATTGAGCAAACAAGGTAGATGTACCAACTTTTTCAGTAAGTGTGCTCATTTAGTTAGAGTATTTTGCTGTGGGCAACAGCATAAACACTGTCATGCAGAATTACACTAACAGTGTTTCATACTGCAACAGCCAACAGGTGCAGAGAAGCTTTTATCACGGCAGAGGAAAAAATGTGCATAAATAGGGGGACCGAAAACGTGGCTGCCATTACGTAATGTGCGAGAGTTCTCGACAAAATCCATTTACAGCCCTACACAACTTTCCACTCTAGCCGTTCACACAATGACATGCACCGAAAAACAGCAGCCATTACCGCCAAGAAACACCGCTTTGGGAGTTGCCTTCTGAAAAACATCAAATATATAAATCCACCTACTGTATGTGAATTTGCATGTGCATGTCTGGCTATTTACTCGCTTAAAGAGTTCAGCCAAAAAATGAATATTCTGCTATAGTTCATTCTTATGGTTGTTGTTTCTGGGAATGAAACACAAAGAAATTAGATATTTTTGAAGAATCTTTACACAGTTGTGTAAAGACCATGACAAGAATTATAAAAGTAGTCTTGAGTCCCACGGAAGAGCTCCGAAAGGATAAAAAGAGGGATGACGACTTGTTTTGTTTTAGGGGCTGTTTACACAATACCGTTTTCAACTAAAAATGTAAAACGTTTTATGTGTTTTGGCCGTTCAATTACACGACAACGGTTGTGTGCAAACTTTTGAAAACGGGTTTCAAAGTGCAAGTTTTTGAAAACGGTCTCTGTGTAAACAACAAAACCGCGAATCTCCGAAGACGACGACGTCACGCACATGCGTATTAAGCTCCGTTCACACTACAAGCGACTTTGTCGCTGCACGTCGCCAGTGGCTGCTCTGGAGGGTGTTCCCACTACTGGTTGCCTAGTAATGTTTGTGAGTAACATTCACGGATATTACTCTATATTAGACAACAAATACGTTTTATTGATGCTACAAACAAATATTTTGGAAGGAAAAGTCTACATATAAACAGAATCAGTACATAAATGCATAACATCAAAGATGAACGAAAACAGTGAGTGCTCTTTGCCATCGCGGCTATTTAACGGGCAAATACCGGTCTATCTGTATTCCCGAAACCATTCAGTCACGGAGTCAGTATGGTGAACACCACTGTATGTACACAGAGATATATCATAAATTATAGGACAGTTTCTGACTGCTAAAATGAGATTCTCGTTCAACTTGCCTCGGTCAGACTCAGCACTGAAGAGAGACGCACTCCACTCACAGTTAATCAGGGTTGCGTTTCCCGTACAACGACGTAGTTCGCTGCTTCACTACCATAGTACGATGCATCGTTGGAAAAAATCAACTAGCTAGTCACGACTGTTTCCCGAAAGCCACTGTCGCAAAGTATCGTTCAACCACGTTGGTTTCGCACGTGATAATAACTACTTTTAATGAAACTGCTTGAGATCCAATTAACGCTAGATTTGTTTTATATAAATTACAGACATGGCATCTGAGGACTATTTCTAATTGTTCTCCGTTGTTTTGCTTTATTACCAGAATCAATATTTGGCTCATTCTTACATAATAGAGCACGTTCGCACATGCGCACTCTTCAAACACGTTACTTCAAATCTTTTGACAAACTAAAAGACGTAAATTCCATTTGTATGTATTCTAAATAAAAGACACCGGTTGTACTGAATGTCAGCTTGTTTATTTTGCTCAAGATAAGGATTTATTACCTCCAAATGTGTTGCAATATAGAAACGATGCGTCTAACCACAGGTCGAGAGCTGTCGTTCAAACCACACAACTTTGCGATGCTGTTTGCGAATGTTCGTTGGAACGATGGTTTCGGGAAACACCGACTCGTTGAACTATGCTGATAACGACGGAACTTCCGACCATAGTTGGCTAACGATGCTTTCGGGAAACGCACCCCTGATCTGAACTTTGTTGCGCCGCTGGACACGCCCCACCGGTCGCCGTCGCCGGAAGTCGCCCGCAATCGATAGTCGCTTGAAGTGTGAACAGCATAATACAACGTTTTTAGGCGTTTTCGCGGATCCGTGTGAATGGGGATCGTTTTGACAGTGGTGTCGTCTGTATGCAAAAAACTTCTCCGTTTTAAGCATATCGTTATCGTGTAGACGTACCCTTAGTTTATGCGGCAGTCGTCCGTGAGATTTACTTTTGCGTTGTTTTTTTTATATGTTTATAACTTTTGCCAGTTCTTGCCTCGTTCTTCACTGAGCCTTTAACATTGTTACATAGTTCATTCTAAAATCTATAAAAAAAAAAGATCTGCACACGAATATAGGCTAAAAAGCTCACCGGATTTTATTGTTTATTGTTTATTGCTCACAGGATTTAATTTATTATATAATTACCCATCTGTTTGGGACCAGTGTTTGGCGCTACGCCTTTCCATCCCCTCGAGGTCTTCTGAAACCATACTTTGTGTGAAGAACAGATTGAAATGTAGGAGTCAACCGTTTTTGGTCCTATCTATTTATTTATTAAAATGTAATTCAGACTTAGCGTGACTTCAATACGTCTCTTCAATGAAGCATGTTTTTTTTAATAGTAATTTTATATTTAGGGGGGACATAAAGTAACAAAATGTCAGGATGAAAGAATCAATAACAAAATAAAGGGGGAAAAATACATATTGAAAAATGAAATGACTTAAAAGTCAGCCTTATTACACCTTTTGTCATAGTCATTTATTGTTTTTTTAAAAAAAATATGGTTAAACAAAACTACTCTTTGCATATTAATATCTGAAAAAAGTTTGTCAGACCTCATGAAACCAACATGAACACACAGAGTACATTTCTAATCACTTGCCAAAAGGTTTTAAAAAGTTTCGCTTTTTCTTTGTCATTAACACTGATGCCATTATTCCCTGATTACCCTCACCTCTAATGAAGCTTGTGTGTGAAGAATAAAAAAAAATGTGCATTGTGTTTGGTTACTACACATGAAAGACCCAACATTTTATAGCTTATGTCTTAGGAACATTCAAATTAGAATTAATAACACAATTTCCATTGTTGGATAAACTATCCTGTTCAGCCATTGGTAATTGGATGAAATCAATAAATGATGAGCTGAACATTCTAGTACGGTTACAGCAAGTAAATGAATTTTAGACACAAATTCATCTCGCGCAGCGAACTTTCCCCACAACATCTCAGACTCAGACTAAAAGGAAGGAGTAGCCATTAAAATGGACGTCTGGTGGTGTCGTGTCAGAGCAGAGGTGACCGCAGCCACCATCTAATGAAAAGAGTCGCTCAGTGTGGGCGTGCGATCTGCCATGCATGGATGAACCCTGCCTACCCCTCGCATTTAATCGCACACACCTGCGCTAAGAATAGCAACCCAACCTCATCTATCATCTACCATGAATGGACCTGATCACTCATGGTGTCCGGCTTGAAGTCTGTCATCTGTACTGCCAGCTTAATTGCCTAGAAGGACTTCAAGAACCTGTCGAGACCTGCTGTTGAGGACGCAGGCTACGTTCTGGGTGGTTCACCACTAGTAATGTGAGAGTTTAAATACACCGAGTCACTTTATTTTTCCACGAGCATTTGTTGTCTGTTGGGGTTTCCACCTCAGAAGCAGTGTTTGCAAATGAGCGAAACATCACTTACCCGCCTTTGATGTAGTCCAGGAAGGTGACATCAATATCAACGAGAAACGAGAGCAGCGTCACCTGCAAACATGAAGTCGGACAGTGTGATTCTTTGTGCCGTCATTTCGTCATATCAATTGACTCTTTCTTTTGAGTGATTCTGATTTAAATAAAGGGACTTCCTTAAGCCTACACTACAAAACAGCAGCTAAAAACTGTTGGGAAAACTTGTCAAACTAAAGACTAGACAGAATTCAGTGTATTCAATGCAGATTTTATATAAAACAGATTGACACATTTTTTGGTAACACTTTAAGGTTCATTATTACCATGAACTAACAATGAGCAATACATTTGCAACTGTATTTATTCATCTTTGCTAATGTTAGTTAATAAAAATACATATATGTTCACTATATAGTTCACTAATGTTAACAAATACAACCTTTGATTTTAATAAAGTAATAGTAAATGTTCAAATTAATGTTAACTAAGATTAATAATAAATGAATAAATATAAATATAATAATAATAATATAAATGCTGTAGAAGTATTGTTCATTCTTAGTTCATGTTAACCAAGGTAACTAATGAACCTTATTGTAAAGTGTTACCACATTTTTGTCATATCACCCAGAGGCAATGTTACTTGTAGTTTCTCTCCGAAACTCAGAAAAATCAATCATCAAAAACAAAATCATACACTATCAAGAGAGCAACATGAAAAATGTTTGCTTACGGTTCCAGAGTTGAGATATTTTTTCTTCTTGCCTTTCTTCTTTGGGTTTATGACCTGTGGAGAGAAAATTAATGAATGCCATTGCACTTCAATAGAATAGAATAGAATAGAATAGAATAGAATAGAATAGAATACACTGTAAAAAAAATATTGATGGTTTAACTTAAAAAAGTAAGTAACCTGGTTGCCTTAAAATTTTAAGTTGATTGAACTGGAAAAAGTGAGTTAATACAATGAAGTAGATTAATTTAACCATCAGAAACTCAAAATAATAAGTTATCTCAACTAAATAAATTATTATAAAGTTGATTTGACAAAGAAAATATGTTGTGATAACAAATCTTGAAAACATTTTTTACAGTGTAGAATAGATTAGACTTCATCGTCCGCTAGGGGAAATTTGTCAAAATATTTTCATGATTTGTAATCACAACATTTTTTCTTTTGTCAAATCAACTTAATTTATGTAGGTCAGATAACATACTATTTTGAGTTTCTGATGCTTAAATAAATCTCCTTCGTTGTATTAACTCAATTTTTCCAGTTCAATGAACTTAAAATTTTAAGGCAACCAGGTTACTTCATTTTTTTAAGTTAAACCAACAATATTCTTTACAGTGTAGTAGATAATGGGATTTGTATAAGACTATAAGCGCTACATAATTTAGATGTATGGACTGTATTTATACGACAGCCCTTCTACACACAGTCCAAGTTAAATCAAAACTATATATACACTGTAAAAAGTTGCTGCCTTAAATTAAGTGCAATCTTAAACTTGAATGTTTAAGTCATTTCAACTTAAATTACATTAAACTGACTTAAAAAATGAGTTGAATCTTGTGTAACATAAAAAGTTAACTTATTTTGATGAGTTAAAGCAATGTAAAACATATATTGTCATAACTTATGTTGGTCATATAATTTTTTTTTACATTGTAGAAATATATATATATACTGTATATATATATATATATATATATATATATATATACTGTAAAAAATATTTAAGATTTGTTATCACAACATTTTTTCTTTTGTCAAATCAACTTAAATAATTTATTTAGTTGAGATAATTTATTATTTTGAGCTGATGATTAAATTAATCTCCTTCATTGTATTAACTCAATTTTTCCAGTTCAATCAACGTAAAATTTTAAGGCAACCAGGTTACTTACTTTTTTAAGTTAAACCAACAGTATTTTTTTATGTGTCTCCATGAACATATTTGTGCATGCAAGAAAAGGAGAAAGGGAAAAATAAAGCAAAACAAGAGGCTAGAGAAATATGTGAGACCAACCGAACACAACAAACGACTGAGATTATACAGTGACAATTATTCGCATGTGGAAAAGCCCGAGCCACATATATAAAAATATAAAATAAAGTATCTCTTCCTCCCACTCACTAATGCTAAATGAGTTATGAACAAATGCAGTGCCTGTGGAATGAGAACATCTGCTAACATCTCAAGATCTGTGACTAAATTCTCACGTTGCTGAGTGTTTCTCTTAATGTGAAATTACTCAGTCTAATTGAGAAAACATTGATTTTTTTTATATATCATCCCTCAAAAGATGGAATTTCTCTCAGATTTGTCATTTTGTTATTTAGATTTGATAGGGGCAGCGTCTCAGGGAAAGATACTATCTAAATTTACTTTAAACAATGAGTACATTTATAAGTAATATGAATCTGAAGTTCACTTATTTTCCTCATGATTTCAGATTTAAAAAGTCTTATGAAAATGTACATTTTCAGAACTCAAAACTTCCTTCCCAGTCCAAAATATAATTTAATAAAAGCTTTTTCAAAATTCTGCTCTAAATATCTGTAGATTCACTTCAAATATACCAAATATCGTTATTGTGTGCATTGTTATTATTATTAAATGTCACTGTGCCCATAAAGAAGGTGGAAAATGATCATGACAAGCTCCTTCGCTAACATTATTAAAATGATAAACAACACCTGTAGTAAAATATCTATCTTTAGTTTGCATTTGATGTTCCAGTGTCTTTCATATGCAGGTCTAACTGTACATCTACTTAAGTGGAAAAATATGTTTCTTGTCAAAATTGATTGTGTTGAAGGAACCAACTGTGTTTCTTTAAGAAGATAGGTTTTCATTATTATGCATAAATATCTTAAAGTTATTTTCTGGTACCCACACACTGAGAACTGTAATGTGTGGAAAATTTGCAGGGAAAACAAATTACTTTCACAAGTTGTCTGGAAGTGGTGATTTTCTCACTTATTCAGAAGTTCCAGCCTACAAATTGAATACTGTAAGTTACGTGGAAGAAATGTAATATGTTATGTATCATGTTTGCATTTTTCAGTAATTATAATAAGATCATTTGCAGGAGGATTGTATGACACATGCTTATTTGCTGATTTGATAGAACAAAGAACAGTTATTGATCTTATGAATGAATGGATGTATACAGTATGACCCTATACATGGCTGGAAATGAGAAATATGTGACTTTTTTTATGACTGTGACAGAAGGGCCAATGCTCAAGGGTAGAATATGATAAACAAGTCTAGAAATGTTCCACGCATGGTTGAAAATATTTTCATTAGCCTAGAAAGATGACGTTTCGGGAGTCAAGACTATAACAGAGGAAGGATGTCACTTTCTGAGCTTTCCTTGCAAGGGAATGCATTTAAAGACAATTGGGACATGTTTGTCTCTTATTCAGTGATAGAAACACAGTTATACTGTGAAAAATATTGTGTTAATGAGCTTTGAAAATTATTAAAATGTATAAGATTACCTCATACACGTTAAATTGTGACTGGCCTCTTGACAGTTCTCTATAGCTTGTGCTGAATTCTCCAATGAAGTCATGGCTGTAAAACACACACATACACAAATTAGAAAGAGACATTGTTGGAAAACATTACATTCATTTCATAATGAGCATTACATTTAAAAAACAAAACAAAAAAACATTTAGCTCTGATAAGTTACCAGCCTTTTATCATGCTTTGAATGAAAAGATTCATTATTTTAAATCAAAACACCCTATACAAAAAAACGTCATCAAAAAAAAAAAACGAATACAAAAAAAAATTGTCAGGGAACTCCTCGACGACACGTTGGAGTTCCCAGGACGAAACGGAACGTCTCGGTTACGTATGTAACCCTCGTTCCCTGAGTACAGGGTTACGTACGAACGAGGGTTACGAACGAGGGTTACGTATGTAACCCTCGTTCCCTGAGTACAGGGTTACGTACGAACGAGGGTTACGAACGAGGGTTACGTATGTAACCCTCGTTCCCTGAGTACAGGGAACGAGGGTTACATACGTAACCGAGACGTTCCCTTTTGTCCTGGGAACTCCAACGTGTCGTCGAGGAGTTCCCTGACGAATTGGAATTAGCGTGATCCCGATTCGTCAGGGAACTCCCCGACGACACGTCTCCGTTCCCTGTACTCAGGGAACGAGGGTTACATACGTAATTGAGACGTTTTTTTGTATAGGGTGTTTTGAAAGGGAACGTCTCGGTTACGTATGTAACCCTCGTTCCCTGAGTACAGGGAACGGAGACGTGTCGTCGGGGAGTTCCCTGACGAATAGGGATCATGCTAATTCCAATTCATCAGGGAATTCCCTGGCGACACGTCTCAGTTACATACGTGTCGTCGGGGAGTTCTCTGACGAATTGGAAGTAGCGTGATCCCGATTCGTCAGGGAACTCCCCGACGACACATTGGAGTTCCCAGGACGAAAGGGAACATAATTACATATGTAAATCTATGTGATTGATAAACCCGATCTCACGGCACTTCGCACGTATTTTCCAAGATTGCTAATACGTACGGAATCAATCTTATGTTGTTGTTGTTTTTTTCCGCTAAGTCGTACATATTTTACCCAATTCGTATTATACTCGCATTATTATATCGTATTATACCCAATTCGTATTAAACCCAATTACACATTATACCCAATTTTGCCCAATTCGTGTGAATTCGTAAGAATGACCTGATCCCGCCCCTTAAACCTAACCGTCACTGGGGTTTAGACAAATCGTACGAATTCGTAAGAGTGAGGTCATTCAAATTCGTACGATTTAGCTACCTCGTACTCACTCGTACAAATTGGTCGCGAGATAGCGTTGGATGGTTCCAAAATACAAACGTGCTTACAAATCCCAGCCAATAATGTATGTAAATAAGAGTCTAATATGTATATTTACAGTACATGCAATTATGGTTTATGTGCTGAAAAAGACATACTATGGAGCCCCTAATGGGACATGGTTATGGAAAAATTTGATGGGTGGAACAAGTATATTTCAAAGCTTTTGTGCTTTTTTGCAGATACTGGCGTTTCCTTTATGAATTAAGTTCTGAAACATTTTAAACACAAAAGTGTGTGTTTTGGGCTTTTGAAAAAAAAAAACTATTTGAATGTACTTTTTGGCTTTAAAAGACTGCTCAATTTGATTATTTGTTTCATGCTCAATTCCAGTATCCCACCGAGACGACTTTAGCTATCTGTACCCTATAATTAATGGATGTATGCAGTGAGTGTCAGGTGAGTATTTTAAGCTTCATGTGACAGTTTACAGTTCATTACCTGCCATCACGATCCCAGTCATACACCTCAACCTTGATCGCTCTGTGAAAGAGACAGAGAATTGGTCCATATTAAACATAAACTGTAGTGTTGAGATTTATGAAATATGATTCCATCCATGATTAGAGAATTCAATTATTCCATGCCACAATAATTCACATAAGCAATTTTTGTTGTTGTTGTTTGTTTACATTTATTGTCTGCCAGATGAAATTGGAATACTGTATTATGGATCATTAATTTAATAAATTCTAAAGCACAAATGCTGTATGCAAAAGTGTAACCCTATAGTAATAGGGATCATTGTAATAGAAAGCCTTTATAATCAACTATCCTAAAGTAATATTGTTCAGTTGTTCATGTCGTTGGAAATGATTTGTTTCCATGGTAATTCTCATGATAACCACAAAAACAAAAAAAGTGTAGAGCTTTATCGTTGACGACTAATTAACCTCTTTATTCTTTTTTCAAAACCTTGAAGAACGAAGTAAGAACATCAGTTATCACTGACTATAATATGTTTTGAATTTGAATCATTCAAAAACTGCAATTTCCTTGAATAAACTTCTAATCTGAAGTTCTTTTTTGAAATCATAACAACTAATAATTAGCGTGAATTTGATCATTCTGATCAAATGGTTTTATAGAATTAATGTAATTTTTTTTTTTTAAATTGGGCCATCCAATCAGATTTTAGAGCTTTTTAAAGAATTTTATAATTGGACGTATTACTAAAACATCTCTAAAAATCAGCTTACTCTTCCTTCCGTGGCACTTTCTTTTCACAGGTTCGGATTAGTGAGTTTTGACAGAAAATAATTACGACTTCGGCTGTCCGTGGCGTGACAGGCAAGTGATGAGTTTGCACAGTTCAAACAGAACAGCTCTGTCAATTACACAGAGCTTTAACGCAACACATGCTAACAACAACCCAATCCCCACAGCATCCCTTAGCACCCATTCTCAGTGTTATCATCAGCGAGACAATCCGTGCTTCTTTATTAGAGCGCCTGCACAGGCTTATCTCCTGTCCCAGACTCCTACGGATGCCCAGTGCTCTTCCTCCATGTCTGTCCGTCTCTCTCTTTCGTTTCCCACATGTTCAATCAGAGATAAAGCCGAGGCATTGTGTGGGAGAGTGCGCTACGGTACCGATCGATACTCATCAGTGAGTGCCGCTACCGTGAGGAAGCTTCCCGCTTTATCGCCACACAGCAAGAGCCCCGTTTGAGCTGCTCATGATGGAGGCTTCTAGGATACAGTGTTGCGCTTGGGATTCTATTCTCTGTTGGGTCTTATGTCTCTTAAAGTCCCCCTGTAGTCAATTATTGTATCCCTTAAAGGGATAGTTCACTTTGAAAATAATTTTTGATATGTTTTAGCTTACCTCAAGGGCATCCAAGATGTAGGTGTCTTTGTTTCTGTAGTAGTTTCAATTTTGATATTTTTAGGTCAATCCGTTCGTGTCTATCAGTCATATAATGGAGGTATATGGGGTCCACCTCAAAGAGCATGCACAGAGAAGTCCAAATTAAACATGATTCAATGACTCGTAAATGTAAGTACACATTGATGGCCTAAGACACGAAACAAGCGGTTTTTGTGAGAAAACGAACAGTATTTATATCGTTTTTACCTCTCGTGACCAAAGCCACAAAGCGCCCACGCCCTCAGATCACTTGGACGTGGCTGTGGTAACAAGAGGTAAAAACGATATAAATACTGTTCGTTTTCTCACACAAATCGCTCGTTTCGTGTCTTAGGTCATCAATGTGTACTTACATTTACGAGTCATAAAATCATGTTTAATTTGGACTTCTCTGTGCATGCTCTTTGAGGTGGTGACCATAGACCTCCATTATATGACTGATAGACACGAACGGATTGACCTAAAAATATCAAAATTGAAACTACTGTGGAAACAAAGACACCTACATCTTAGATGCCCTTGAGGTAAACTAAAACATACCAAAAATTAATTTCAAAGTGAACTATCCCTTTAAACCTCATCTTTGAAATGACATTTGAACGTTTTTCCGTGAAAAAATAAAATGTTCTCATGCCTTAAAATACATCATATTGCCAAAAATATTGAATTTAGGTGTTCCATACTATGTACAGAATAGCAGATGAGCCCAGAATATGAACGCAACGCGTTTAATTGTACATTAAGCCATTTTCCTCCCATAGAAAACCAATAAAAACGCTTCATTTACATTTATTCATTTAGCAGACGCTTTTATCCAAAGCAGTTTAACCACAGGACAAACATATACAAGTGCTATGACCCTGGCCAGTTTAATCTAACACAGAACGTGTGCTTTTTAATGAGGCTTAATGGATCAACAGTTATAAAAATAAATAAGCATACACAATTCGTTATTAATAAAACACAGGCTGCAGGTTTATTTGCACTGAACACAAATTTGCTTTCTTTCATCATATTGTGGGCTCATCTGCTTTTCTGTATAGTAGGCTATGTTGTTTACTGAGTTTGATAATATGTAATATTTATTTATTTTAATATCAGTCTAATTGCTACATTACCGTTACTGAGCGTCTGACACTAGTATTTTGTCATGTCTAATGTCTTAATAATGCCATCAGAATGCAACCAAGGCACTGCATAGCAATACAATGGCTATACATAATTGTAAATAATTCAAAATAAATGCCATGATCACTAGATTTTAAACAGGTGTTGCTATAATGATTTTGTAAATAGTGATCAGCAACCAAATATTGATAATGTGATAAAGTTACTTCCTTTTACCTTGGTGTGACTTCTCACTTTTTGTAGCCAATACAAAAGCAGCGTACAGTAAAAGTTTGAGCTCAAATAATTGTCATTACTAAAACTTCTAATTGCCAGATTCCCAGTGTCCTACCTATAATAATACATTTATTTATAGACAACTAAAAATCTTCAGTCATTTTTCTTCAGTTCTACACTCTAGCGAGTTAAAGGGATACTCCACTTTTTTTGGAAATAGGCTCATTTTACCACTCCCCCAGAGTTAAACTGTTGAGTTTTACCGTTATTAAATCCATTCAGCTGATCTCCGGTTCTGGCATTACCACTTTTAGCATAGCTTAGCATACATCATCATCACTCTCATTCCTGTGTAATAATCAAGAAACTTTACTGCCGTACTGTGGCATTCAGAAATGAGAGAGTTCCTAGCCATATAAGCCTAGAAAATCGTAAATTTACATTTTCCGTCGGTCTTAGTGAACGATGTAACTACAGAAGTGTCAAAATAGGAAAAATATCGAAATTTTTGGTCATTTTGTTAAATGCTAATGGTCTTGTCCACTTCAATGATATATGCTAAGCTATGCTAAAAGTGGTACCGCTAGAACCGGAGATCGGCTGGATGGATTCAAAAACGGTAATGGCACATTCAAACCGGACGCGAATAGCGTGTCAGGCGCGAATGATTTCAATGTTAAGTCAATGCAAAGACGCGTTGCGCGCGTAAAAATTCCTGCGGCGAATGAGGCGTGGAGCTCGGCGCGGTAGACGAATACGCCTCATTCGCGCGTGCTTGTGGCGCAAATTGAGCGTCTGGCGCGTTACGCGTGAATGATTTAGTTAGTGCTATTTGTGCATTCACGCGTTTGACGCGAATTCGCGTCTGCCGCCCAAGTTGAAAAATCTGAACTTCGCCGTCAATTTGCGCCGCGTTAACCAATCGGGAGCCTAGCTGCTTGCTCACGTGGTGAAGAATCTGGATGCTTCAATAAATTATTTTGTAATATGACTAAATGCCTCGTGTGGTTCTAATGCACAACAAAGCAAATATTTTATCGCTTAAAACGTTATTTCAATTTACGAGACATGTTCATTTTGTATTGAATGTTATTTATTCCATATCTAGATTATATGAAATATTATTAAGATGTAAAGACAACCAACATACATGGATAAGTTCGTGTCTGGACGTGACAGAGAAAAAAAATCACAGGACAGGTTAATAACTTTTGGAAGCTGGCTCTATTTATCGTCAAAACAAAAATAAATTACAGATTAGATGGATGAGGGCGAGGGTGATCCTTGCTCCGATGTGGGACAACAGGTCATCAAACTGGCCGCGGGACAGGCGGAAGTACCACTGACAGCGGCCGACATCCAGGCGCAGTTCCTGGAGCGAGCAAAAGGTGAAACTCGGCAAACGGTTCGCCTCCGAATGGTCCGGTGGACACAAATACGGCGACGATGAACCTCACGCCACTGTTCTGATCTCCAGAGAAAATACAGAGCAGTGACTCTCTCGATGAATGATCGGTAGACATAAAAAACATGGCCGCCAACGGATTTCGATTCTGACGCGTATCATGCACGTAAATTTCACTTCAAACTTTTGTTTTTTACGTGCGTCAATTCCGTTCTTGACGCGTGAATGGATTCAAAGTGGTCAAGCGTATAACTAGATTCAAATATAAATATTTTATATATAAATAATATTTTTTCTTAAATATACAAGCATGTGTGTGTATTTATATATATATATATATATATATATACAAAATATTTATACACAGTGCACCCACATATATTATGAAAACACAAACTTTTATTTTGGATGTGATTAATCGCGATTAATCATTTGACAGCGCTAAAATAGAATAAAAAAATATGGATTTTAGAATTAAATTGATGCATGATGAGTTGATCAGTTGTGGTTCAACTGTGAGGGGATCAAACCTAAAAATACCTTAACAAACTACAAAACACTACATACCTGTCAAAATCGCCATTGCACAGGACTCTGACGGGGATTTTAAAGGCTTCCCACACAGGGTTCAGCGTGTTCTTCACCACCTCTGTCTTATGACATATAGTAAATCTGTAAGATAAAAGAAAATATTACAGTAACTGTAATCAAAAGTTAACGCATATAAGTGTAATTTAATCTGTTGATTGTGACCAAATTATGTTCCAAAATGTCTTTTTGAAGACATATCTCTCAAATGCACTTGAAAAATGTAAGGAACTGGAATCTTTTAATGTTGCACAAACCATCGCAGAAAATCATGTTTGAGTGAGCTGAAATCACACTTTATTTGGCACACCTTACTGTGTAATACAGAAATACTGTCTGTACAAACATATTGAAAACTGTCCAAAAAAGTGATTATTGTTGAGAATTTGTTTTGGTTTTATTGCTAAGCATCAACAGGGCTGTTTCGGAAACTGAACCAATATTGCACATATTCGGTTTGACTTTCTGAAACTGGCCCTTGAGCTACTCCCTCAAAACTTGCTTTAAAACCAGACTCTGTTCTCTAAAGGACATAGACATGAATGGATTGCTCAGTTATGGGCTGGGTACACAGCTCAATACTGGCCTTTTTCCTGGCCACACATTTATTTTTCCTTTATTACACACACACACACACACACAGTTTACCCCTTGTTCTCATGGTTCAGGAGGTAAAAAGCTCTTTTTGATGTGTGTATGTGTGTGAGTTTTAGGGTCTGCTTACACAACACCTCTTTCAACTAAAAACAGAAAACTTTTAAATGTATTGTGGCAGTTCATTTACACGACAACAATGTTGTCATGGTCTGGAAATGCAAACTCTTGAAAACGGGTTCCAAAGTGCATGTCTCCATATTTTATGAAAACTGCGACGTCATGCACATGCCTATTATGTATTCAGTCTATAAGCGTGTAGTGTTTCTTTACAAAGTGACATCGCCAACTACTGGCATGTCATGAATAAAAAATGTTTTGAATTGTTTTCGCATATCTGTGTGAACGGGGAACGTTTTGATAAGTTGTCGTCTGTACGTAAAAAAACGCAAAGGAATATCTTTTCTGTGTACATTGTCGTGAATAAATTATCTTGAAAATATCATGCTTTTCTGGAAGATGGTCTCAGGCTGGTACCAAGAAAAGCCACGTAATGATCCATCATTACAAAGAACCGCAGCTTTTTGTAAATTAATATGTAATTCTAAAATCTACAGGCACATACACACACAAAATGGTTGTGTTACTCCTCACCTTGTCAGAGTTTGATCATTTACGGTAATAAAAAACACACCTTACTCAGGCTAAAGTCATCATTAGCATTAGCCATTAGCCAACATTAGCTTTTAGCGAACCACTGTCTACTGTCTGCCAGTTCATAAGTAACTGATCTGAAACATTCACTCACTCATGTTTAAAGGGATAGCTCACCCAAAAAATGACATTTCAGTTACTTAACTGAAACACACAAAAAAGTGTTTTGAAGAATGTTAGCAACCAAACTGTTTTGGTTAGCACTATTTTACATTGTATGGACATTTCATATCAAATCTTATTTGTCCAACAGAAAAAAAGTAAGTAATTATATGCTTTTTAAGTGCACAGATTCCAATACAATTGGATGTTAGCATGTTGCTATGCTAACAACATGAGTAAGAAGATAAAGAATCCCTTAAAGGGTTAGTTGACCCAAAAATGAAAACTCTGTCAGTATTTACTCACCCTCATGTTGTTCCAACCCCGTAAGACCTTCGTTCATCTTCGGAACACAAATTAAGATATTTAAGATATTAAGATCACTCCTGCATACTAGTCCATAGGCTTCTTGAGGGAATGACTTGCTGTCCTCGAAAAGTCATTAAAGACATCGTTAAAATAGTCCAAGTGACTACAGTGGCTCAATCTTAAGTTTATCAAACGACGAGAACACTTTTGTGCGCAAAAAAACAACAAAAATAACGACTTTATTTCAACTATTCGTTTATTTCTCCCTCTGCGCGAGTCAGGTTACTAGTTTAATAGCGTAAGCTTCTGTTATTGTACGTCACACGCATCACACACATGACCAGCGTCGGCCAATAGTGAGCCTACGTGTGACGTAGCTCTACGCAATCACACTACGTTAACTGACTACAGGCCCATGGAGAAGGAAGTGAATAGTTGAAATAAATTCGTTATTTTTGTTTGTTTTTGCGCACAAAAAGTATTCTCGTCGTTTGATAAAGTTAAAATTGAGCCACTGTAGACACTTGGACTATTTTAACGATGTTTTTAATGACTTTTCGATGCCAGCAAGAGTCATTCCCTCAAGAAGCCTATTGACTAGTATGCAGGAGCGATCTTAATATCTTAAATATCTTAATTTGTGTTGCGAAGATGAACGAAGGTCTTACGGGGTTGGAACAACATGAGGGTGAGTAAATACTGACAGAATTTTCATTTTTGGGTGAACTAACCCTTTAAGAACAGTTAGCTAAGTAAATTGATATCTTACTATGTGTAGAACCAAAATGAAAAGTAGCTTCAAAACACAGCTGTAATAATTATTGTAGCTGATCTACACAAACAAAGGCACAGGGTATTGTGAAATTTGACAGAAAAGCTGAATGACCCCTTCGTCTCCGAGTGAAGTTGAAATTTATTGAAGTACAGAATCAGCCAGATAAGAAGTGATTGTTTCATTTCAGGAGAACCCTGCTGATCCAGGTGCAAAGGACTATGGGTAAGAACTTAAAGGAATTCAATAGAAAGCCATTTCCCGCAACACAGAGCCTGGAGATGAAATTAACGTTGTGGGCAGTGTGTGTAGCTGACAATGTGTCTGTGTTACTCACGTTCCATCCTCATTGCTGCGGTAAAACACTAAGAAGGGGTCCGATTTGCCAAAAAAGTCCTTTTTGTCCAGCTTGTTGCCACAAAATTGCATCATCACAGACTCCTGCAGGGTGAAAAGCAGGTTATGAGGGCAATGGGAGTGTACATGTGGATTTAGAGCAATTAGCAGACCTTGGATAACAATATCAGTACGGAGTATGTGGCCATTTGTGGTTTCTAGACAGCTAGCATTACACAAATGCTAAATAGCTTGGCTACAACGCCCAGATGTCAAGGCTAAAAGGCCTAATCAGAAATCCATTTGACAAGCGTATCACATTCACGGTGAGAGATGCAATGCTCCAGCAGGGAATGGGATAAGGTCTATTTGGTCCCTGTTGTGAAAGACAAATTCCGCTAGCATTGCGGGGGCCTTTATGTATTTATGTGTGTGTGTGTTAGCACAGCTGGAGTTCTTGGCACACCATGTGCGCTGTGTATTACAACTAAGATAAATACTTTGAATAGACTATAACAGAAGCCAAATTATAAGTGATTTCATTAGATTTTGACATTAGTATGATGCATTAGCAAAAATGTAAACCATAAAATCAGCAATATTGCAAGAGACTTGGATCATAATCAATTTCGGTATAGTTTGACATCAGCATGTTGCCAAGGTAATGCTCTTCACACAATTTCATTATGAAATCAGTGATGGAAGCGCACAGGAAACTTGGATAGTATTTGAATTCAACCGAGTTTAATGTTAGCATGTTGCTAAGCTAAAAACATATCAATCTACATACACAATTTCATTAGAAAATCTCATTTTTTTTTTAATGCTTCTGTATTAAATGACAAATGAGTATATACTGGATGTTTTAGGTAGGGATTTAGTGAGAGATTAGCCCTGAATTGAAATGGATCAATATTAGCGCTTACCCTGCAGTTGTTAAGCTCCTCAGCCTTCACAATAATTTTCCCACATTTCTTCCCTGGAATCCCCCTGTGTGCGACAAAAATGGGAGTATTCAGGTCATAAATGTGTTGGACAGTGATATTGTATACATCATTAAGCCAATTTTTCAATGTATCATACATGCATGTATTGTACGCATCATATATAGGTATTAAAAAAGTACTCCATGGTACATTACCTATACTATAAATGGTAAACGTATATTACCATGGCCCCAAAAACATAACACAACCTTTAATTAGGATACAAATAACCAAGCTTCATATTAACGTTCCATTCATTGTGAAAATATGGCAAGAAAATCCCTCCTTCCTTAGAGTCACAATGTTTTCCAGCGTAAATCAGGCTCTCTGATGGATTCTTCTGCTGTTGGTAATACAATGAATTGACTCTTGCACAGACAACTCGGTGGATAAACTCTTGATTAAGGTTTATTAACACTCTTTCATTTGTGCAGAGTTTAAGTGAGTGTAATTGGACTGTGGCTGTGCCATTGTGCTCAGGGCAAAACCAAGCTGTCATTTAGCAAAGTGGGTATTGCCTGACTACTTTATTAGAAGTGGACTTGATCTATGAGACTGTCAAGCCCCATAATTAACTAAAATATATTATATTATTACTTAAACTGTATGATAGATAGTACACTGTATTTAAAATTGTTCAACTAAAACCACTCACTTCTCCACTCACTAATTTAAGTTAAATATACAGTATAGTATAATAACACTGAGAGAATTTTTATATTTAATGTGAACTTAACCAAGAAAAACTTTGTATGACTTTATTTGCAAAGTGTGACTTTAAAGAATATCCTGGCTGCTCTTTTTCATCTAATTAAGTGACTCAAGCTTCTGAATGACCAAAAAGCCCCATAAACCATCATATAAGTGGTCCATACACCAGCTTTGTGTCATAAACAGACTAACAAAACTTGAAATCTTCCCTAAAGTGTAATTCATGTAAATGGTGCTTGGTCAGGGAATATTCAAGAATTAGAGGCTATACTGGCCCAAAATGAGACTTATACAACATTTTTGTGGTACATACCTCAAATTCTGTTTCCAAGGGGGCATCACAAAGCTTTTGTATAGCTTCAGAAGATTGGAATATATTGGACATTGTTTGGTGCATTTATTGCACAGCTTTATCTCATTTCATTTATTCCCTTTACAGAATTGTAATTTTTAGGTAGGGTGAATTCAGGGTAAATTGGGACACATGCATTTTGACATTGAGATGACTGAGAAAAGAAATGCCCCAATTATCCTGAACCAACCCTACATGTGAAGGAGATTTCTAGAAAGCTGCCATCCTGACCCACTGTTAAGAGTTTTTAACACTACAAATGGCATCCTTAATTCACCCATTGGGCATAATCTGATTTACGTAATTACAGACTTTACTGGTTATTTTTTACATTTAATGGTTTCCAATATTTGGATAATATCTAGTACTAGATAAAGGGAACCCACAACTTTTTTGTATGATGAATGTATTGATTAGTTCTTGTTAATCTTTGTGCTGTTATCTTGATTAAACGTCCAACTTGAGAGTAAATGTCAACATTTCTAGTGCCAGTTAATCAAAGTAACACAAGAAAGAAGACTTCAAAATTTGAACAAAAATGTTAACAATCTAAACTTTCTATTCATCAAAGAGTACACACAAAAACGCAGCTGAATCATATCTTCACTTATATCTAACACTTCAAGAGTGCGAATCGGCCAAGAATAACTTGCAGTTCATGAATTCGTTTAAGTTTAATAAGTTTATAAGTTATACCTCGAGAACATTTTAAAGAGGCAATCATGATGCAGCAAAACCGAACCATGTTTTATATGTCGTGAGGTGTAAGACAGCTGAAATACAGAACTGGAAAACATTACAGTGTGCATACGTTGGCCCAAATGGAAAGACATGATGTGTGAGAAACCCTTTCGTCACCATGACAACCCCAACCTGTGTAACAGAGGGACCCCAGCAGAGATATCTAATAAACATGACTAAGATGTCATCTAATACATATTTCATATTCAAATTATTTTTTTTTTAGTGGAACATTATTGAAATTGGTCATTGTTGAACAAAAACATTTTAAAGCTAGAATCTTGTACAGACTATGAATCATAACTGAAGCGGTTCAATTATATATTTCTGCACGTCTATGATGCCCAAGTTTAGTAAGCAAGATCATTTCAATGGGGAACTTTGCTTTGTCAAAACAGAAATCATGTATTTTTGTTGTTTTTTAGTGTAATTTAGTACATTTTTGAAAGTTGAATCATCACATTTCAGCACTATTAATGATAATGCTAAATGATGTCCAGTGTAAACCAGAAAACATTTCTAGTTTTGTATCTGGAAAGGCTGAAGGGGGTGGATTGGAACCCACCGCTGCTTCAATATATGTAATGATGAGTAATTAAAAATCGAGGTATTCAATAAATCAATATTTTTCCTTCTAAATATTAAATGAGTTGAATGACTTCTCTAGACTTGTGAGGTTTTACTTAGAAGTTACTAGTGTAATTACTGAAATGTTCTTTTCATGTATTCTTTGTAGACTTGTTTTTTGTTTGAGAAAGGTCTTCAACATGTTAAAACATATGGGGGTCATTGAAGCCAATAGTTTAAGGGATCATTTCTTTGTTAAAGTCTTACTTTCCAGATTGGTAAGAGCTTAGGTAACACAAGTCAGTTTAATATAATTTAAGTTGACTTGACAATTTAAGGCAGCATCTTTTTTTACTCTCTTTTATAAAACAAAAAATAAATATTACATTTAAAATGTAAGCATTTGTCCAAGGTTCTTCTTCAATATCTTGGTCTCTTTGTGATGAAATATGACAAGCGACATTGTTCTAATATCACGTTTTCACAGTCCAATACCTCGCTTTCGTTGAATCAAACACAGAAATATGCTTTCATACCTTGTTATTATTATTATTGTTAGGTTTTTTTTGCATTTAGTCCCTCCTGTAAGTCCCAATCAAGATCCATGCATTTGCAATCAGCATCTCAAGTTAGCAAGGTAATTAAGTACTGGCGACACAGCAGTGCAATGCCTGTTTTTTCTGTCTGTGCATGCGTGTGTAATTATCTCCCCTCGGTCGACAGAAACCTGAATGAAATAACAAGTATCATTCAAATCAAACCGAAAAGTGCTGCTTCTTTTTCTTACGGTTTTATTTATATATATATATATATATATATATATATATAGAAATGCATTAACGAAATGACTCTTGATTTATATTCTCAGACAGGAATGGGAGTGATACTCAAACAGTCATTATTTGCAGTGCTTTAGCTCATCACTGAAAATCTGATTCTCCCCGGAGCTTCTTGGCACCAATACTGTGTTGTCAGTTGACTTAACTTAATAAAAGTGAGGAAACCTGTTGCCTTCAAATTATTAAGTAAATAATAAATAAAAAAAACAACTAAATTTATATGGAATTGTCGAGTTTTTTCAATTACGCATGAACTTTACTTAATAATTTTAAGGCAACGGGTTTCTTAACTTTTATTTAAGTGCAAAGTAACCCATGCGTAATTGAATGTGTTTTTCAATTATTTACTTAATAATATGATGGCAACAGGTTTCCTCACTTTTTTAAGTTAAAGGGATAATTCACCCAAAATTGAAAATTAACCCATGATTTACTCACCCTCAAGTCATCCTAGGTGTATATGACATTCTTCTTTCAGACGACATTCTTTTATCAGAGTTATTTTAAAAAATGTCCTGGATCTTCCAAGCTTTATAATAGCATTGAATGTCTGTTTCTGTTTTGAAGTCCATAAAAGTGCATCTATCCATAATAAAAGTGCATTTATCCATCATGAAAGGGCATTTATCCATCATAAAAGTGCATCTATCCATCATAAAAGGGCATCTATCCATCATAAAAGTGCATCTATCCATCATAAAAGTGCATTTATCCATCATAAAAGTGCATCTATCATCATAAAAGTGCATCTGTCCATCATAAAAGGGCATCTATCCATCATAAAAGTGCATCTATCATCATAAAAGTGCATCTATCTATCATCTATCTATCCATAATAAAAGTGCATTTATCCATCACAACAGTGCATCTATCCATCAAAAAAGTGCATTTATCCATCATAACAGTGCATTTGTCCATCATAAAAGGGCATTTATCCATCATAAAAGTGTATCTATCCATCATAAAAGTGCATCTATCATCATAAAAGTGCATCTATCATCATAAAAGTGCATCTATCATCATAAAAGTGCATCTATCCATCATAAAAGTGCATTTATCCATCATAAAAGTACATCTATCCATCAAAAAAGTGCATCTATCATCATAAAAGTGCATCTATCCATCATAAAAGTACATCTATCCATCAAAAAAGTGCATCTATCATCATAAAAGTGCATTTATCCATCATAAAAGTGCATCTATCCATCATAAAAGTGCATCTATCATCATAAAAGTGCATCTATCATCATAAAAGTGCATCTATCCATCATAAAAGTACATCTATCCATCAAAAAAGTGCATCTATCATCATAAAAGTGCATCTATCCATCATAAAAGTGCATCTATCCATCATAAAAGTGCATCTATCATCATAAAAGTGCATCTATCCATCATAAAAGTACATCTATCCATCAAAAAAGTGCATCTATCATCATAAAAGTGCATCTATCCATCATAAAAGTGCATCTATCATCATAAAAGTGCATCTATCCATCATAAAAGTACATCTATCCATCAAAAAAGTGCATCTATCCATCATAAAAGTGTTCCACCCGGCTCTGAGGGGGTTACTAAAGGCATTCTGAAGTTAAGCAATCCATTTGTGTAAGAAAAATATCCATATTCAATCAAAACTTTATAAAGTAAACAAAAAAACCTAGCTTCCGGCCAAACAAACACGGATTCCACTTAAGTCTAAAGCAAAACGCATGAAGGAATCATAAAAGGACAAAGGTAAAAGACTAAACTACTCACTACTCATTCAGAGGGAATAAACTTCTCACTCAACGAAGCAATCAGATGAAAACAATATCAAATATGTCCAATAAATTTCTATTAATTATAAGAATATTTCAAATGTAGTTTGAAAAGATGAAATCATTCCGTAATACTTCATGTTTGTTGCTGAGCTCATTTGCCACAATTCACATGTCTATACAGTTCTCTGATTGGATCTCTCTTCAGAATTATAGCTAGTGGAGATCTTCATCACAAATTTGTCTATTAAACATATACTGTATTTTTTTTAAGCCAAAATTATACTGATAGTATACTGACTTATTTGCTTTTCAGGATATTCAGGACAATCTGTTTTTTCTAAATTTTCAAATTTAAGCACTGGACAAGCTCAAGCCAGCAAAATCAATCAATCAAGCCACCATATAAAAACCCAGATGACACTATATGCGTCCGACCTTCTTTAAGGTCTTTATTATGAATTAATTCGTTCAATTAGTTATATTTAATTATATCACTCATATCGCTTCAATCACAACACTTGCCAGTTTGCACTGTCAGACATGAATGCATTGCTCTCAATGAACACTTGCCACTCACACACACGCATGTAAAATTGAATAAGTGCAAATGTGTCAGACTAACTCAGAAGTCAATCGACAGACTATTCAAACACACATTAGAAACAGAATAACACATCTCCCAAGCTCTCCACCAATAGTGCCCGAAATAGCAATGTTTTTTAGCAAAGTTTCATGCAGCGTCTCCCGACCGAGTTTGGCGGGGTGATTGAACTGTGTAATTAGCTGTAATTAACAGTCATTAGGGTTGTTAAAGGTCCCTCCCTTCAGGCCTCAGGCACAAGTGTGGGATTTCGCCATATTTTAACGCTTCCGAAACAACTTTTGTAACCCATGCCATTATAGTACATCTACATCCAACAATAATTGAAAAGTTTGCTCTTAGCTCTTTTCGGGACACTCAGAACTTTCGCCTTCAGAACTGTCTTAATTCTACGTGGCATTGATTCAACAAGGTGCTGAACGCATTCTTTAGAAATGTTGGCCCATATTGATAGGATAGCGTCTTGCAGTTGATGGAGATTTGTGGGATGAACATCCAGGGCATGAAGCTCCCGTTCCACCACATCCCAAAGATGCTCGATTGGGTTGAGATCTGGTGACTGTGGACGCCATTTTAGTACAGTCATGTTCAAGAAACCAATTTGAATGAAATCCTACTGGAAGTAGCCATCAGAGGATTGGTAAATGGTAGCCATAAAGGGATGGACATGGTCAGAAACAATGCTCAGGTAGGCTGTGGCATTTGAAATGATGCCCAATTGGCACTAAGGGGCCTAAAGTGTGCCAAGAAAACATCCCCCACACCATTACACCACCATCACCAGCCTGCACAGTGGTGACAATTCATGATGGATCCATGTTCTCATTCTGTTTACGCCAAATTCTGACTCTACCATCTGAATGTCTCAACAGAAATCAAGACTCATCAGACCAGGCAACATTTTTCCAGTCTTCAACTGTCCAATTTTGGTGAGCTCGTGCAAATTGTCGCCTCTTTTTCCTATTTGTAGTGGAGATGAGTGGTGCCTGGTGGGGTCTAGTCTATCGGCCCCAAGGTTGTGCGTGTTGTGGCTTCACAAATGCTTTGCTGAATACCTCGGTTGTAACGAGTGGTTATTTCAGTCAAAGTTGCTCTTCTATCAGCTTGAATCAGTCGGCCCATTCTCCTCTGACCTCTAGAATCAACAAGGCATTTTCGCCCACAGGACCATTCTTTGTAAACCCTAGAAATGGTTATGCATGAAAATCCCAGTAACTGAGCAGATTGTGAATCACCTTTCTTTCCCATTCTGACATTCAGTTTGGAGTTCAGGAGATTGTCTTGACCAGGACCACACCCCTAAATGCATTGAAGCAACTGCCATGTGATTGGTTGATTAGATAATTGCATTAATGAGAAATTGAACAGGTGTTCCTAATAATCCTTTAGGCGAGATTATGACTAGCACACATAATAGTGTATGACTATTAGTTGCAAATACATCCAAAGCTACAAGTGCTCCAAACAGCAGGGATGTACAAAACCTCAACCCACTGTGTTCTTCATTTTCTTGATCAACACTAGTGGTCTGTCTTTATCTGGATGTAATGAGAATGTTGACATGAGGGTCTGCTTAGCTAATGGAGCAACGGTGACAGGGACACCCACTGACGCTGAGCTCCCACTGACAATCTAATGAGCCTGCTTTGTAAACCAAGGCAAAGAAAAGAATGTATGTGAGGCAGGCCTTTACCACCCCTCAAGAGAAAGAGTTGAGTTACTTAGATCAGAACCGAAATGGACTTCCAAGTCAGGAAAAAAAAATGCTAGTTCAGGTGCAATGACAATATGACATTGGTGTGAAGGATATGCAGAAAGCTCAAAGGTGGACTAAAGACTTTAATGAGCATAGTCAGAATAAAGAGCACCAATAGCGAACAGCAGCTCATTAGTCCTCAACTAAACACGTAGTCACAGTTTGCTTAGTTACAATCCACTGATGGTTTCCCATCACACTGTCATTGGGTTAGGAGCCATGCATTTTACACTTAAGCTATTGGCTCATGCCAAGAACGACATGAGACCTGATGCATGAAGTTAGGTGAACAAACTCTGAGTTTCAGAGTAGATTTAGAGTTGACAAAACCATATAAATCCAACATGGTTTAGATAAGTAAGGTTCAGCGGGCTCATAACAAGCATTCTCTGTTAACTCAGGAGTTAACAAAACAAACAGAGCGGTTCTTACCCAAGATCTTTCTCCATACGACTGCCCTGCGAACCCACCACCTCTCCCAACGAACACAAGGCCTGGCCAAGGAAATCCTGCAAACAGAGAGAACATAAACGGAGGCTGGGAGGTATTTTTAAACACAGACAATTTGAAATACTTGACCTTTCATATTGCTATTTATAATATGTCTGAGGGTTCTTCGGCTTTATCTATAATCACTGGGTCAGAGCAAAGATAAGATTCATCATTTTGATCATTTTGAACATGACTAGTCAGTGGTTAAAGTGGGATTTGGTACCCTCAAATTTTGTGTAGGTGCAACTGGGTAAAAATGACTCGCCGTGGGACAACATATCGTGGTATAGCAATACTTTTTGAGTATTTACAGACATGTGCTTAAAAATAAGAGATATTTAGGGGGGATTCGTGGGCACGCTGCCCTGAGAAAATTTTGATTTCTCTGACCTACATGTGTGCAATTTAAGACTTTTGAATGCCAAAAAAAGGATAATAAATAGCTTTAAAACCATGCCAGTGGATATTAAATTATTTTGTCAAATATGTGTTATATTTAATCTATCAAATATATATTAGACATCTTTCTCTCAGTCTCCTCAACTTGTCCTATCTCTTCCCCTCCTAAAGCTGAACTTTGACCGATAGTCTTGTCATTTTCGTCTGTGTTAGTGAAGATAGTAAACGTAAATGATAATTATATGTTTTATGAATTATTATCTTAACCAAGGTAATTTACTCAAGGCTACCAGGTCAGTATTGCAAATAGGAACCTTCTACAAGCTTTGGAATTTGAAAAGTAATTTTAAATAATACAAATTAGCTCATCATGCGCTGTGGAAATGCGTCAAAGCATTCTCAGTTATAAATATGCAGCATTAATGCACATAGGTGATTTTGAACGAATATTTAATGTCGATATACAATGGTTACATGATATTAAAACTAATCCTGCTATTGATCTCTTTGTGAGACCCTATAGAACAGTAGCTAGGGAAAACAAATGTCAGGCGAAATATATTGAACCTAAAACTTTAGCGCGCTCAACCATCGTGAGTGCATTTCACGCATTTGCATTTGCAAACCAAAAAAGGAGGTTGGTCGGCCCATATCGGGAGCAGCGAGATTCGTTGAGATTAATGAATCTATGTATTTATTAATTTATCTGAGGTGCCGGAACGCAGTTCCGGACCATTCCCGGCCCACTTTAACCCCTGACTATAGTACAATATGTCCATGTAAACACTATTAAGTTTCTGGAGTGACAACCACATTTAAATACGGAGTGAATCCCCTCAATTATCATTATGTGTGTACTCACTCCTGAAAATGATTGACGCATAGCCATGTTTGGTTTAGCGTGTTTGGTATCCACTATTTTTCACCAAATTAATATTACAGAAACCAAAGACTTAAGTTTTACAGTTTTTAACTAAGCCACCATTGAAAGAGGTGTTGTGTTTCATTCATGTCTGTAAGGCTGCTTCACAGAGTGCACTTGTCCATTTATTATAAGTGTTTTTGGGCTTGATTTGGCTTGGCTCATAAAGCTTAAAGGGTTAGTTCACCCAAAAATGAAAATTAAGTCATTAATTACTCACCCCCATGCTGTACCAACCCCGTAAGACCTTCGTTCGTCTTCGGAACACAAATGAAGATATTTTTGATTAAATTTGAGAGCTGTATAACTACCACATTGGCTCCTAAGGGACTGCCTCTTGACGGCCCAGAAAGTCAATGAAGAAAATGTTTAAATATCCCAAGTGACTACCGTGGCTCAACTATATGTTTATCAAGCGACGCGAATACTTTTTGTGCGAAAAAACAAACAAAAATAACGAGTTTATTATTCTCGCATGCGCGAGAATTGCGATCTGAAGTGGTGTAAGCTGTGTATATGTCTATGAGCTGGTGTAAGCAGATCGCAATTCTCGCGCATGCGTCGTGGAAATCTAAGGAAGTCTCGTTCTGGCCTACAAGGAAGAAAAGAAATAGTCGAATAAACTCGTTATTTTTGTTTGTTTTTTCGCACAAAAAGTATTCGCGTCGCTTGATAAACATATAGTTGAGCCACGGTAGTCACTTGGGATATTTAAACATTTTCTTCATTGACTTTTTGGGCCGTCAAGAGGCATTCCCTTAGGAGCCAATGTGGTAGTTATACAGCTCTCAAATTAAATCAAAAATATCTTCATTTGTGTTCAGAAGACGAACGAAGGTCTTACGGGGTTGGTACAGCATGGGGGAGAGTAATTAATGACTTAATTTTCATTTTTGGGTGAACTAACCCTTTAAGGTGCCAATCTTATTTTCAACATAAAGCAATTTTCTATCATGACAACTCTCTGAGAGATTGGCATGGTAATGAGATTGACATGGTAATGGATATGCCAATGCTAATGTATTTGGTCTTGGCAGAATAGATCTGCTTACGCTGCTGCTGCAGAGCAAGTACGGAGACTTGCTACTGCCAATACATTCACAGACACTTCTGTGAGCATGTAAAGCACACTGGGGCGAATATCGGCGCACGTTTTCGCCAGCGTTTTTCGTGTTCACACCCAAATGATTTTCGCTGATGATGAGCTGAGTGAACATGCAAATTTATTCCCTTACATTAGATGGCGTCCATTTGCTCTGCAATACCACTCTATAACTACTTTGATTGTTAATTTAGTTTGATTAGTTAATTTGATTGTACCCGTAATTTTATTGAACTTCTGGTGTACAAAACTAGGGCTGGGTAAAAAATATCGATTTCTCGATATTAATCGATTCTCATTTTTACGAACCGATATCGATTCTTAAATCTCAAGAATCGATTAGTCATCCTGTTTCATTTGAATGAATGGATCATTGTCTCGCGGCTGCGCGCATCCAAAAAATCGCAATAATCTTTGTCCTTTGTGACTATTGATATGAAACAAAGTCTCAATTTTCAAATTACGTCCATTTTCTTTAGAAATTCAAAAACATAAATAGCGTTTTGGCGCTGTGGCGTGAGATCGCTCTGGCGCAGCTCTAGAGAAGCAGCAGCACTGATCTCTCTTCCGGGATAATAATACCAGTCACAGCGCGAAATAAACATGAATGAGCATCTGAAAGTGTGTTAAAAGATAGAGTACAACTTATCGAAATCCGTATCATGTCACATTGATTCGCTCAATCAGCGTTTCAACCGAGGAAAGACGTCAGTTAAACAGCTTGTAATTAATGTCATGTATCGTCATATTTACCTCAGAAAAACCACATAAACTCGTTAGTCAGCTGGAAAAAATAACTCTAGAGAGGAGCATTTTGCTGAATATATACACCATATTACATATGCATTATAATCTTAATGTTCTTCAATATTTAATGCATATTTGAATAAATCTGGCAAGTTTTTATGACAGTCACCATTTAAATGTTTATATTTCATATAATCTTCGTATTATAAAAATAAATAAAAGTGTAATTTAAGTGTTTGTATAGCTAAAAAACAGTTAATTATTACCTTCACATTAGGCTAATGAAGCCTATTGGCAACAACTAGACTCCCATAGTTTACAGCATTAGTTAAGAGATTTGATTTCCTTGAGAAAATTTGCCATTTATTGTAACTGATATCCAAAATAATCAATATTGAATCGAATCGAATCAAGCTTGTGAATCGAAATCGAATCGAATAGTGAAATTTGTGTCAATACCCAGCCCTAGTTCAAAACAGGATTAAGTTCTAAAAGGTGAACTGACAACCAAATTTAACTGCAGGGTGTGTGTGTGTGTGTGTGTGTGGCCTATATGGTCAAATGTATGTGTACATCGAAACACCACAGCCCTGTGTGCTTGTTATTTCATTTCATTTCAAATTCATTGGCATTTATAGAGTAGGCCCTCCCTAACAGCCTTCTCCCTTCTGGGAAGCCTTTCCACTCAATGTTGGAATGGGACTGTGGGGATTTTCTACCATTCAAACACAAAAGCACTGTTGTTGGGTGATGGGCTCTCATCCCTAAGGTGTTCAGTAGAGTTAATGCTTGGAATTGCAGTATGCCAGTTTAAAAATCTTTTGTTTTTATGGACCTAACTTTCCCTAGAGGGGAAGAGCCCTGCTGCCATAAAGTTTAAAGCACTTAATTCTCTAGAATGTTACTGTATGGTGTGGCATTAAGATATATCTTAAATAGAGTTAAGTGGCTTTCCCAAACCCTGCTTGAAAAATATACCAGATACACCTTTTAATCTATGAAAAGGGATATATGCTGTAAAGCTTCAAATAAGCTTAGCCAAAGGAGAACTGCCCCACCAACTGAGCCTGGTTTCTCCCAAGGTTTTTTCCACCTGATGGATATAATATATAACAATATTATTGATCTTCCTGCATTGACACCATTATATGAGAACTGAACTGAGCTGGAAGAAGACATCACTGTTTTCTCCAGAGCGGCTGTATAGATAAATGAACTCAATTAATCATTTTCAACAGAAATGAACCCTCAATGAATTTACTTAAGCTGGACTATGACAGTATTTTCTTCTAGGCAGAGATGGGCACTCGGGTTAGAGACTCGGACTTGAGTAACACTCGAGTCATTTTTTTAATAAACTTTAGTCTTGACTTGAAATTACTTCACTTAGTGTTTGTATTGAAAATAACAACTTGTCTTGTTGCCAGGACATTGTTCTGGATTATAAAGTAACAAACTCAAGACTTGACTTGAACTTGTGACAAAAGACTCCAGATTTGACTCGGACTCCAGATGAAAGACTGTCTGCTGTACAGCCGAAACAAACTTAGTTGCATTTTTTTCCTGTCATCACTGTAAAGCTGCTTTGAAACAATCTGTATCATAGAAAGTGTTATAAAAATCAAGGTGACTTGCCTTGATAAAAGACCATGAAAGCAATAAAATAATCAAAAACAACATTATTTCAAGAGCTGAAGCTGTTCACACATCATGTTGAAATGTTGTCACCCATTTGATAAATGATCTGAAGTGAAGCACAACATATGGCTTAAAAAGCCATTAGAATTCAAATGATTTTCTTGGCAGAGCTGTGAAGTTTTCGCCCCACCGACCTTCGCAACAGCAGTTTAATAATAATAGGTGATACTCTTTGTGCATATTCTGTGTGAATGCTGAACTTAAAAGATTTTCATTTACTATATTTTGTCTTAATACAAATGTGCATCAATGGAAAGTGCAGTGATGGAGAGAGAATGATAAAATGATAAAATAAGACATCCAGAGAACTGCTTCGCCTTAGTGAGTATGCTTATATTTATATTTAAGACATAAAATGGATGGATGGATGGACTAACTAGTGGCTAGTGATGGATAGGGGACTTTTCAGAAAGAAAAAAAAAAGAATAACTGAGGGAAATGCTGTACATTTCTACACATGCATATGCATCTTAAATTAAACTTTAAAATTCGTAAGCATTTTAAATTAAATTCAAGTCAAATTTTACGAGTCAAATATCCATTGTTAAACTGACTGTAAAAAGTTGGGTATTTCGAGAAGAGAATAGGGCCAATCACTAAACCCTGAGGCACCCCAGAGATTATTTCATGTAATTCTGAGTCTTTGAAGCACCTGTCCATGAATCAATCTAGAGAAGTGCACCATTTTAAAGAAAAAAGGTTGAGCAAGTACATTTTGTAATTTACTTAGACACAATTAAATGATTATTGGTTAATCAATGGCGTAAGCATGTACTGTGTCATGTTTGACATC